AAAGATTTTATATATATATATACACACACACATATGAATGTGAAGAAAATATATAGGGAGTAAAAAAAATTATACCTTCTGGGCATGGAACTATTGTTTCTTGATCAATTCGAGTGTTTTTGAGGAAGGTTGAGAATGCAAGTTGCAGAATATGGAATAGAAAAACCAAAAATGATACATCTGCAAAAGAGAAATAAAATTAATATTGCTTTAATTTATACTTTATAGCAAAGAGACTAAAAATTTGTTAAATAAATATGAGAATTCAATTTAATGAAATACTTAAGGGAATTTATTTATTTGAATTCCATTTCCTAAATTCTTGAATATGTACTTTCTAGTTTTTTTAAAGATTTTCAAAGAAAATACAACAAAATTAAAAACTAAAAAAGACTAGCACTCTAAAACCTAATATTTTGGAGGAGACTGAGGAGAAAGAGCATAATTAAAAAAAAAAAATGAATATACTATATACTATGCTTTAATAATTTAGTGATGAAGTTAGCAAAGCATATTTTAAAACCAAGCTTTTTAAGAGAAGAAAAAATCAACGTGAAAAAAAAAAAAGAAAGAAAAAAGAAAAAAAACACAGCGATTGAAAAATTATACCAGCTGGTTTAGAACTTGGGCTTCCTCAATTACAAGGTTTGAGAGGCAGAATACAGATACCAGAACATGTAGTGGATTTTACCAACATGATGCCATCTGCAGAAAATAATTCAAGTTTAGATAATAAGTTGTACTAAATTGTAGTAGTACATAAAATCAAAGGCTCAAAAGTATGTTGGGAAATGGAAAAGGGGGCCGAACCACTGGGGAAGCCATTTGAAGGTGAATCTCATCAGTTGCATAAAGAAAATATGTGAGGCGGCAATGAAGACCAGGAAGACTGAGAGAAAACAAGTGGAGATAGTCTTTTATATTTGAATCTACTAAGCAGACAAGGAAAACAGTGAAATTAAGAAACGGTTTTCCTAACCATGGAGAATAACTTTTGTCTTTTTTATAAATTAATTATAAAAGAAAATTGCATAAAAAAATATATAAAAGAAAATAAGTGGAAACTATGAGGTGGCCGGAAAGCTTAAAAAATAAATTTAGAAAAAATTTAAAAATTAATTTAAAAATAATTTTTTAATAAATTTTAAAATTCAAACTGCACATCTAAGTTTTCCTGCATACGGCTAAGAAAAATTTTAAGGGATCGAGAAATCATACCAGCTCATCTAGAACTTGGGCAATTGACCCCAGTGCATTATTATTGATCTTGGAAAAAATTCA